ATATCAAATAGGGTTATTAAGAAGAAATCATCGGCTGACCGGGCGTGGCTTAGTGGTTGAGCATCGACCTAGGATCCAGGCGATCGGGGTTTGATTCCCAGTCAGGGCACATGCCCGGGTTGCGGGCTCCATCCCCAGTCAGAGGTGTGCAGGGAGCAGCCGATCAATGTCTCTCTCATCATCAATGTTTCTCTCTCTCTCTCCGTCTTCTTTCCTCTCTCTGAAATCAATAAAGATATATTTTTTTAAAAAAAGAAATCATCTTCAGAGGACTTCAATAAGTTTCTGACACATAGTACTTCTGAAAGAGATGATGACTATCTGTTCGTTCAACAAACCTTTATGGAACAGCTGCTGTCTGCAGAGAGTGTGCTAAGTGCTGGGAGTTCAGACATATCATTTCCCCCTCACTCCTCTCAAGCTGTTTAGTCTGATGGAGAAGGCAGATAAGGAGAACAAGGAGAGGAAGAATTACTATTCTCCTTTCGAGTAGCTCAAGCATTATATATCATCTACTTACAAGTAGTGGCATAATATACAGTAAGTTGCTCACAGTGACTTTATGAAGTGTGAGTATTGTCCCCATTTTACAAATGATGAAACCAAGGCTTCGAGAACTTAAGTAATTTACTTAAGATCACACAGCTAAGTGGAAAACCCAGGATTTGATTCCAAATCTGCCTGACTCCACAGTCTTCCTTAACTTTTATATCAGATCATCGATTACAAATACGATGTGTATAAGTGCTTTGGCAAGGTTACAGAAGACATCTGCATATATGCCATTAATAACGGCCTTCATGCCCTGGCCAGTGTGGCTCAGTGGTTAGAGCATTGGCCCTCCCACCAAAGGGTCACAGGTTCGATTCTCCATCAAGGGCATCTACCTGGTTTCAGGTTTGCTCCTCACCCCCAGACAGGGCGCCTGCAGGAGGCAGCCAGTCGATGTGGCTCTCACATCGATGTTTCTCTCTCTCTCCTCCCTCCAGCTTCCCTCCCTTACACTCTCTCTGAAAAAGCAATGGAAAAATACCCTCAGGTGAGGCTCAACTAAAATAAATAAATAAGTAATGGCCTTCATGAGCCTGATTGTCTTTTGGTGTTTTATTGTTTCTACAGGCTCAAGTTCCTATTTTCTTTAGTTGCTTTCTGGAAATAGAAGTAAACATCTCCTTGGTGCCTCTCCTTGTAAGTTAACAGGACACTTTCTGTGTCCTAGGCATGTAAAGCCAAGGTTGAGACTGGGAAGCCACAGGCACGTGATGCTTTCCTCGCTCTCACCCTTTTTGCCCATGAAGTGTACCAGGAGCAAATTCACAATAAAGAGGTCAGGCTGCCTCCCTGACCAGCCTCCGTCCCAGTCACTCCTTTGAGTTCATTCCGCCACAGTCCAGGGAAGTTCAGAACAAAGGAGTTCTGCAGTGGCTCATTGAGACGTTAAAACTTTACAATGCTGTTTGGAGTGTATCCTCAACTTACATGTGCTAAAGCCCATCCTGTGATTATGGTTTAAAGTACAGCAATTATCGGACCTATTTCAGGATCTCCAAACACTCATCCAGAGCTTCTTGTGCTTTTCTGTTGAATGAAATTAACATTTTCCTCTTTAAACGTTATTTGAACATGAGTTCTTGACTCATTTGAGAATATAGGTTTTCTAGAAAATTAGAAGCGTATCAGTATGGACATCTGATGTATGGTGAGTGGCTAGTCATAGAGGTGGAACTGAGAAGATAAGACCTCTCTGAATGATAAGATAGTCATTTTGGGAAACAGTGTAGGACCGAAACGTAGTCCCACTGTGAAGGGGGAAGTTCGCATTGTCTCGTACTCCTGGGTGCCGAGGACAGACCACAGTGCTGCTCCGCCAGGTTTAAACTGCGCCTGAGGCTCACGTATCCTCTTTTCTCTCTGAACCCTTAAGCCCGCTATACTTTTCCTACCCTTCTTGTATATTTTCTCAGGACCTTTTTCTCTGAAAGACAGTGGTTGGTAATGATGCTCCACAGAAGGAGAAGGGAGCTGACAGTTCATATATGTTCTAGGCATTTTACATCCTCAGTCTTGCTTAATCCTCACAGCATCCCGTCTGGGCTGGGGATTATCCCCACATTTATAGATAGAGAAACTACGGTTCAGGGAAGTTAAATTATTTACCTAGAGGACTTGAAGCTAGAAAGTGGCAAAATGGGAGCCCAGCTGTCTTCTCCCTAACGTCCTAGTTTGCACTCTGCTCTGAAGCTATAGTGTTGGAGATTGTGACTGTTGTCGCTGTTACTACTGCTTGCCACCAGCTTTTACATCAACTAGCTAAGGGAATGCGTCCATGTAAGGTTCAGACTCAAGGTATGAATAGAGTGTGAGTTTACGTTATCATTGGATTCCCGCAACAGCCTGCTAACTGCGTATGTTTATTATTTCAACTTTACAAATGGGGAAACTGAGGCTCACAAAGACTGATCCAAAGTCACACAGCCAGTCATTCTGGCCCTGGAGACTCAATCCAGTCCCCTGGGGGCACAGACCTCTTAAAGCTCACTGTCCAACTAGTGCTGTACACTAGCTGGGTGCAGAGCCAGTTTCTGTCACTAGGGCAGTGTTCTTCAGCCAGGCGTGTGCTGTACAGAAAACAGCGGGGCTATAACTAACGAAATAATAGGAATCTGTTTCTTCAGTAAGAACATGAGACTATGTGAAGGCTGAGCAAAATGCCACAAGCTTGCATTTATACCAAAGCTCACTGAATTCTGCTGTAATTTTCATGCACATTGAAGGCATCTGAGTATAGTATTTCCAGAGAGCAGGCTGTAAATCAAAGCTGTAGATTCAGTATGACTAATAGGAGATCATTAACTGTTTTAAAGTATACTGCCACTGCATTCCATAAATGAGTAAGTACTGGTGAGGCATGGCCTGTGACTGAGCCATGCAGCCGTCACATGTTAATGAGCTATTCGGATAGGTGTCTGCCTAAATCAGGATGTATGGGCCAACACATAGAGAGCTGTTACTTAGGAAACACTGTACTTGGTTGCCTAAAAGGTTATATATTTTGCTACCCTGGGATAATGACTGTAAGAACAGCCAGTCACTTGGTTGTGTTTAGGTAAATATCTTAGAGTTTTACTCATTTGGTTCTTTTTTTATAGACCATACAAGACAAATAACTCTTAATCATGGAGTAAAATTCTGAGATTATCAAATTCAATTTGGTTGTCCACACCAGTGGATTTTCTTTCAGCCTTAAAAATACATTATTAAAGTGTTTTCCAATCTCTTACTCTCTTTGAGAAGAAAACTTGATTCCTTTATACATTCATTCAAGAAATATTTTTNAATTCTGAGATTATCAAATTCAATTTGGTTGTCCACACCAGTGGACTTTCTTTCAGCCTTAAAAATACATTATTAAAGTGTTTTCCAATCTCTTACTCTCTTTGAGAAGAAAACTTGATTCCTTTATACATTCATTCAAGAAATATTTTTTGAATGCTTAATATTCGCTAGTCATTATGCTGAGTGCTAGGGGAACCTCACAAGGTAGATGGC